GCAAGTGGAATTCATTCAGACAAAGAACGATTCCGGAAAAAGATATTTTCTGGTGATTGCATTTGTATTCTGGGGTCAGAAACTCAAATCGAGAGCACGTTACTAGTTAGATCATTCGCGAGATATCTGATCAAACTCGTTTCACAACCAGAGTCGAAAAATTTAGGAGTAAGTTACGGTTTGGGAAAGCTGCAGTCGTAGTTGCATCTAGTGCAGACTGGAATGTGTATGGAAACTGACAGTTCGTAGCCAGCTTGTTGCAAAATCTTTGCACCAGCCATAAAAGAACGAATGTTCATCCAGTCACCTCGTCTCGCCTCACTTTTGACAGATTACATTGTTTTTTTCCAAAGAGCTTGGTTTTCCTTTGCTACTCAACGAGTGATTTGATGTTTTCTCGGAAATTGTTGGAGAATCGTAGCAACCAGAGACAGGACACTGAGAAAAGGTATCCAGCAATCTTAGCGACTCTCTCGTTGATAACCTAAACAAGCGTCTCCAAAGCACTTCTGCCAATCATATAAAAATCCCGTGATGTCGCTTGCGGTCTGGTTGTGTCCATGCTTGTCAAGGTTTGTCTTTGTTCGGGTTTGTACAAGCAGTTTATGAGTTGTGTACAGTGAGCTCTTGCCATGTTTTATTTCATACAATCTCCCAAAATAGGAACCACAATCATTCTCCCTAATAACTCGGTCGTTACCCTTCACCTCAGTCTAGCCTAAAAGTGCAATTTTAAACATGAAGCCCCGAAGACACTGCTCCACTATATTTCTGGCATGTAAACACACAAACCAATGCATACATTGTTCACAGGCCTGCGTTAATATTGTGGTTCCCCTTCACCAGTTGTTGTCGGACTAAAAACAAACATGCTAGAGATTTGAATTGATTCCATGAATAATTGACTGGTCAGATTAAATGAAAGATATTAGGCTGAAAACCCGCCTCTCACTGACCAATTAAAGGGGGGGTTTTCCCGTCTTGTTTATCATCCAATTTTTCTTTCAGATTTTGAACGATAAGCTTAGCGGCGATGCAAAAGTTTCTTTACACCGAGAATTCTCTTGTCTTTACCGACAGTATTGCTCAGTAAACTGTTACATTTATTTTTATCCACTTGTCCACTTAAGCATCTTAACTCCTTATATGAGCATCCTAATCTCAGAAGGGATGACATCAAATTTACGGTTTTCCAAGTTTATACCAAGTTTATCTTCATTCACGGGTACCTCAAAAACAACGTAGCTGTGTGATCCTGGATTTTGAAACATGTACTTCTGGTGGGAATACTTGGTGCTTTCAGATTATGATTAAGGATGGAGCAGGATCCACTAACAACACAGTTACAGTCACCCGGGATGTTAAAAGTGTGTGTGTGTGTGATGAAACTACCTGGTCAATGAGTTACACTACTCAAGTAGGTTGGACCTAGAACTAAAGGGTATCCGTCATGATGCTAAATCCAGAGAGCAATATTATCTGAAACCAAGTAACTAACGGTATATTATTCGTAGATTTCACCGATTTAAATTCCACTGAACGCATTTTAAGCATCTGGTTCATTTAGGCTTGTACCTGGTCAGCTCATTATGCTACATTAGCAAACACATTTACAAACAGATCCTACTCCAATTCAAACTGTCTGCGCACATGCACACCTAGTATGTTCTCTCTACACCGGGCAAGCGTCATACTGTGCGGCCATGTAACGTGCTTTCTAGTGCCCATTAAGCGTTACCCACACAATGTGCCAGACTCGGCATGGGTCCGCACTGGTTAAGAAAGTTGATGGTTGATCCTGTCCGGTGGAGTGACAAGGGAAACTAAAAGCATATATGCCCGCTACATTTCCACTCCAACTGGTGTGACACAACTCAGTCCACTCGATTTGCGAGTTCTCTGTCTGACTACCACTACTTGAATTCTTGCAACCCCCCCTCCTGTGCACACAACCACCACATACAGAATAGGTTGGGCTTTAACGAGCTGTCAGTTCGACGGAATACGTAAGCAGATGCGGGATGACCAGTCCGAATTGTCTCCTTCTACCTCAGATGGCGCTCGATGTTGCGTGAGAGAGGTGGGGAGATGTTTGAGGTGAAGTAGACTGGGCTTTTGTACTAGTTACATGTGACACACGAGAATAGTTCAAGTAATAACAGCTTGGACCAGAACGCCTCTCTGGTCATCACCACCGTCTGTTTTGAAACAACGGTAACATGTCTCCCATAGGACACGTGCACATGATTGAGGTGGTTCCCGCTCATTGAAATTCAGTTAAAGATCGCAATTTACTTGGTCGAGTTATATGTGTTTGTTCGTGGGTTGATCATCATCATCATCGCAAAACATGGACAGGCAGTGTCGCCAAAGAACTTTGGCTGATGCGCTTACATGAGTGAAAATGGCAATGATGGGTTGTGAATATGGGTTATACATGTTAGTTTGCGTGGACAGCTGTTGGAGTGGAACGAAAGATTTGAGTGACGCATACATTGAAAATGAAAACAGTCAGGTGCTTATGAGGAAGGGTGCTGTGCAACTGTACCAGCTTATAATCAAACAACCGTTGCTATCAACGTAATATCTCTTTTTGGCTACTCTGCTTTATCCTTATTTGCCTTGCAGCGGCTAAAGTATGTGCTTCTCCGTAAACTACAAAATTTTATTCACGATCGTCCACGAACACTAATGACAGCCAAAATATTACGTCAGGATTAGTCCAGTCCAAAGTTTTGAGCTACTGTCGCCGATACATATAATCACCTTCTGAGTGAATACCTGGTAAAAACCAAATTCTCGCGCTTTGAAGAGGATAAACTCCCCGAAAAGGACAAACATATTAGCTGGCCTGGCTCCAGCAAGAATTTTCTTCATATATTCGGTATTGTATCTTCCATAATTCTTTCTTCATGCCTTGGCAGAAGTATGTATGCCAATTACAACCTCTTTCACTCCAGCTGAAGGACTGAATTTTCTTTTTTTCCAAACAACCATAAGATCCTATCGAAACGTTTGACAAGGGGAGGAGGCCTGCAGATTCTATTCTCTTTACTGGAAAATATTCCTTAGGTTGGCACTAAAATATAGAAGGGACTCAAATTCTCACTGGGATATCCACTGAAATGTTTCCCTTTGATATTGTTTCCCCTTTCCCATCACTATCCAACCTCAGATAACATTCCTGATCAAGGCAACCCGGAGCCAGGACTTCATAGGGGGGACGTTCAGTGAATGCCGACCACATAGTGCGTTGGTGAACAACAATACTCTAAATAAAGTCACTCTCGAGTAGAAAGTCTCCTCTATTTGCTGAATCGACGACCAACTGTAACCCTGCTTCAACCTTTCCAACCATGAAGTAGGCGGATAAATTAAGTTTCGCTTTCAGCACGGACGCAGGTGAGACATACCAAATGCAATAATGTAAGTTAATTTTACGCAGATGAATGCATATTATATGCAATATATAAAATGATGTTCATGTAGCACATGAGGACTCCTATTCTATCCCCTTTCCTTTGGTCCACTATATTCATTATCCCCAAACTGCCAGGCCTGTTAGGTAGGTCGATAGCTACTCAGTACCAATTCATTTCTGGAATTCCCGGCAAAAATCAAATGGATGAAAACCTCGACAGCCAAGATTGGATTCACTTTTCTTGAAGCTCATCAGGCAGTCGTGGTCTCCCAGTTTCCGTCAAAATTATATTCTAAATGAACCCAAACTGCACTAAATTCGATCGATTTGGTTTTCACAGGTTACTCATCTTCAGCTGAATGTGCTGCACAGTGGTCGTTTCATGTTACTGTTGGTACGATATTCGATAAGTTGCGGTACACTTTCATTAGCGAAACTGCTCACGCGTTTGCTTAAAGCTCTTCGGCAGCCCATAACCATTAGGTTGGTGAAAACCCGGGAGACTCGCCTACCTGGTGATGTTTAAGGGCAAAACCAATCACTGGTTGTCGAAGGGTTTCCAACAACCTAATGATCAATCTCCTTTATGGAAATTTACTGCGATATCTCGAATATTGTGCTCACTGAAACGTTGGGCTGCCTTTGTGCAGTAGATTCACTTTCAGGATATCATAAACGAAAGATTCAGGTTGGTATGCCGATGAGTGTATTTGTATTTGAATGTGTCCCTTAAACTGACTAAGTCAAGCTACGTTTTTTTCTAAAAATGTCCGAAGGTAAAGCAGAGTCAAGCAACCAATAAAAACGGAATACACTGTTGACTATGAGGGTTGCTACTTAGTTACCTGACAGTTATTAAAAGACAACACTTATTTGACAACTGTAGCTGAAAAGAGTAACACCATTCTTCCCTCATGTCGTTTTAGGCCATGGGTTGATCATATCAACAAATGAGTAGGATTTTCCTGCCCGAGCAGTCGTGAATGATTTACTCCAGAATAGTTCGTCAAAATAAACACACGGATGCATGATGTCAGTCGTGAGTGACAAGTCCCCACTATACTCAGATGACAAATTTGGGCGCCCTAGGTTTTGCTGGAAAGATTTTGATAGAAAAGTTGAAGCTAGGTTGTGGTGACCGTCATTGGCAAGCTAAAGGCGACTGATCGGATCCATGACATAGAATTGACAAGCTGTTGAATGTTCATGAGTTTTTTTTCGGAAAAATGTTATGTGATTCGTCAGCCACGTGGCACCCAGTGGTATAAATTCTTATCAGGAAGTGGATCAAATAAACATTCCAAAGTCTATTTTTCGGCGTATAGAAAGAGTTGATGACAACGTTTTTAGGCGATTAGTTATTGCTGACCAAACGTACGTGCACTCCACTGATCCTGAGGCTGAGTCAGTCAGCGCAAAGGTGACACTCAGGTTCTTCAGGATCAAAGCAATCCAAGGCCCAAGGGTAGGTTAAGATCACAATGCTTTAGGACTACGAAGGTGTTTTAATGAGCAACAACATTCTAGCAAGTCAATCAAGGCAAGATGGATCAAGAGGTTGGAACGCAAATTTACTGACCCGTAGGTCCGTGGTTAGAATCCGACCTCCGGCTCTCGATTTTCTCTGCCTGGACTTGGGCAACCTGGCAGTATCCCAGCCCTCATGCTTCCTTTGGGTGGCATGGCAGCTAGGCACCGAAAGGGCGTTACATCTGAAAGAATAAAGGAAGTGGAAGTTTCACAAAATGATTTTTTTTCTTAAAAAGGCTCCTTCTCACAATGAATGTTTAGACGAAGCTGGAATTTGCTTGCATAGGCTATCTGAGGTACTCACAGTATTTTGCTCCATCCGACTGGCTTTTCCTTCTAGGTCACAAAAACAATTCCTGTCAAGGCACAACTTTTGATCGGGAAAGAGCTTATGGTAGCGGCGAAGCAATAGTTCAGAAAACATATGTGATTAGTTTTTCCCGAATGTTTGTAGACGCACTAGGAGCAAGCTTTGTCAAATGCGCTGAACTACGGAGTGAATACGTAGAACAGCCCATAAGTTTCGTAATTCCGCCCTTTCCTCCTAGGTTAAGCCCAGAATATTGACTGAAACCCGAGTTGTTTACACAACGCATGCAAACCCGCGGTTGGTCGTGACGATGTCTATGGGTCTATGGGCCTAATGGATCATTGTGTCTATTCATTTGGAATCCCTTTGCTGCGATAACTTCATTCGCACAACTGACCACAACTTAAATTGAAACAACGTTGCTAACAATGTAGTGCACTTGGCTCTTTGGAGAAGGCACGTTCAAACACACTGTAAATGATGCCTCATCCGCGGGCACAGTGACAGCAAAAAAGTATCAGTTTTGAAAAGGAAAAAAACAAAACAGTCTCTTAACCACAATCGTTCAGATTTGGAAAACAGCCTTGTAAACGACCACAACTACGTACCTATTAAATGAATCACCTACACTCGACCAATGACTGACACTGATGGGCCGTCGAAATGTACCGTACCAGATACCTGGGAAACCGGGTGACGTTAGTATGGCTGCATGTAATCACCAGTGCAAGCATACATGCGCGCGCACACACACTTACAGGCGGATTCATAGAACTGTTTGTATCAATCCAATCTCGGTTGGTTTAAACACTACCACAAACACCATCACCAGTATAGCCACTACCACGAACAAGAGGGTTCGCAGTTTTTATGAATCTAACAGGGTAATTTGTCTTGTTCTCAGTTTGTTACATACTGGTCTCAATTGGCGACAAGTACCCGTAACCAGTCTATTATTTCGTCTTACGTATTCAGATCGGTCTATCGAGCACGCATGTGCAGTGTGTGTGTGACAGCCTCAGCCGTATAGATTGAAAGTGGAGAACAAAAGATAGAGAATCGAGGGAGAGGGGAGGTGGCTGCAAAATAGGTCTGTTGGTTGAAGTCACGTCCAAGTGTATGCAGTAAGAACAGTTCGGTGTATGTATAGGTGTGTGCGAGTACAGCCTGGTCCATCCTCCAACATGTTGTCGTTGATCATTCTGTTCGCTGAGTGAAACAGTCAGTTAAATTGATGCTTGTGCGTGTGATACGTGCTCATGTACGTGCTGACTGGCTCACTTCAAGCCCGTTCAGTTTTCTGTAGAATGTAACTAAAACAATAATCCGGAACGTAATAAAAGCAAATAAATGACCTAATACTTCTGGTGTCTTGCTTGGCGAGATGGACATTGGGTAGAGCGTGGATTTGAAGCAGGTCATGCTAATCAGAGCTTCTGTTGACCTGGGCAGCTGGGCAATATTTTGAGACTGTTTTTGATGTGTTATATAAGCACCTGAAAACAAATCGCAGCACTCTCTTTGCTCAACAGACCTTTAAGTCGGGACCCCCTCAAGTACACCTACGCAGTTATTCGTCACTATCAGCACACTCGTCCGTATATAAAACGGCCACTTTTAGTCCAGCTGAGCCTTCCCGATCGTACTAACAGTAGCGCTGGTCACTTGTGACCCTCAGGTAAGAGAATCCGGGAGGTTTTTACAAATACCACACAGTTATAGCAGAGACATTTCCTGTAGATAGAATGTCCTTGATTCCTCAAGGCTCAGGAGAAGAAGTAACATTAGTTGTGTCCTCGGGAAAAGTAAAGGAACTGAAACAACCTTTTTAACAATCGTCAATCACGGTCATTTGCGTCTTAAACCCGTTTGGAGTACTTCAGAGTTGGTACAAGCTGCAGTAATGCTCTAAACTTGTCGAATCAACACCGATTTGGGGTGCAAAGATAGCTTGCTTGCATAGGAGTGAAACATAATGAATCCATAATCCACCACGCTTAGCTAAAAGTTATCAGAGCCAGAAGTTTCAGTTGATATTCAACTAAATCCACGGTTAATTCAGTAATGTGTGTATGACTCCACTTTTATGTCAGAATATTGCACGTTCGGATGGATGGTTCATTATTCCGCTTCGTCCACGCTCCACATTTTGTAGCGTATCATTCTTATGCAGGTGTTTCTATCCCATTTCAAGGACTGGTTCCTGTTATAGGATTTACCTGTCACAACGGAATACACCGAACACAGTAAGGCCGTTTATCTTCGGATAGTAATATCCAGCCAAGAAGAAGACTGTTCGAATGAGCATGAATATGGATACTAGAAATCACGGAGTGACCTATAAATGATGAGAAAAAAATTGGCAGAAATTTCAAGCGTCCGTAGAGTCACCTAACTGGGAAGTCCTGATTAGCACGGTCAATCGACACAACCAGGTTGACATCGGCACAACCAGGACATTTACTTGGTGGTCGTTCAAGACGTCAGGCAAACCAAGCACATCGCTCAGACTTGAACACGTCTGCCTGTTCAGAAGCGATAATTCAGATGCGTCCAGCTTGCTGTGGTGAAGTAGTGGTAACACGTTCGCCTGGCATGTCAGATGCACGGAGTTCAGACCATGGCAAGTCTAAGGATATGCACAGTGAATGAGCCCCAGTTAGAGCAAGACCCCAGTCTGGAACTTCCCTCCTTTGATGTGAGCTCACAGAAAGAGTTTCTCAAGGACAGTAGGAGGAGCTGTTGAAACGAAAGTGATGCAAACGTGAACGCGAACATTCATACCCACTATAACATGAGTAAGCCTGGCCGCGTAAGTCAGGAGGGTGAATAGGAAAGTCTTAAATTCAGCAGTATTGCAACCCGGAGACTTTAAGTCTTCGACAACCTTTTGTTACAGTTAACACGAGCTATCAGCTGAGGCACCGTAAGTTGAAGCTGCAACCTACATCGTTAAATATTCAGGAAAACGGAACTAAAGATCATTGTAGGTGCCGTCTGATTTGGAGCAGCAGGCCTATTTCCCAGGTTTGCCGAAAGATACACTAGTCTTGGCATATTCAGTTAAACAATGGGGCAGAAAGCTATTGAGAAAGCAGAAGTCTGCACAACATACGACGAAATATGCTGAAGTAGTAAAACGTAGAAGAGCACTACAGATTCCCTTCAATGGAGCTTGGCGCACGAATCTTTCACATTTTAATGCGTAGGCTGAACAGGACAGCTGTAACCAGATTTTTCAGTTTATCACCCATTTGCGAGAACACTGCAGCTATTCTAAAGATGACTGCTGATGCCCCCATAGAGTTTAAGTGATGTACTGCTTGGTTATTCGTTTAGGGTGTGACAAAAATAGAGCACCATCAAGTGCAGAAGAAACGACTCACTTTTGTCAAACGATTTGCACCGTGTAAAATAATGTCTTCCAAAAGACTGTCACTAAACTAAGAGAGTTTTGGTGCAAACACATCCAGTCCAGTTACTCTCACCTTTCAAAATTGAAAATTTGCCCGTCATAGTAGTCCGAAAAAGGGATGATTGACCAGTTAAGTTCCTTTTGAGGCAAACTATCCGCCAAAATCCTGCGGATGCTCATAGTTGAGAAGTTTTCCTGCATGCTTGCGCTATATTTACAGTTTATTTTATGCTATCTGGCTCAGTCCCACCTAAGTATTCCGAGACATTTGTGTTGACTTGATGCACAACTCTTGGTGGCTATCGAAAAATTACCTATGAATCACCTACGCTGCTGTCAGATAACGAAATTTGCATTTTGGTCATCTTTTTCACTGATCTTCCATGATAAATTTCAGCTGTTGAGCATTTTCGGACGTCTTGCTGCCTCTGTCTCACTTTTGACTGTTGGGTGACAGGTGATCACTTAATAATTATCGTCTTGGGCTACCAGTCGCTTTGTGTGATATTTGTTACTCTCAAGCTTGTCGATCAGTTTTATGCGAAGCCGGTGGACTAGTGCCATGAATGTCTTCAGCATCTGGTTTTTCAATGTGTGCTAGTCAATATATCAGTATGCAATCCACTTGGTGCTGTCTCTCAAGATAGGGGCTATCAGTATGCAATCCACTTGGTGCTGTCTGGTAGGCTATTTGATGCTTAACTTCACACTTCTTGCATTCACAGGTGGATCTAGCATGGTATCGTTTTAATAGAGTGAAAATTTAGCTTCAGTCTGAGGAATAAGTGAGTTGGTCTAAAGCCAACTAATCCCCATCACTTAGCTGATTCGTAAAATAATGGAGCAAGTGAGAGTGAACGCCTTGTGGCCAATACTACGTAGCAGTGTGTTGATCTGTTAAACTGAAATTCGGATTTATCTTCAGTAAGTGTTAATGAATGTGATAAGCACCTCAATCTGCTAGTGTGTCCGCCTATATGAACTGATTTTGACCACGTCAGCTGAAAATAAGCAGCAAAATTGAGTAACCCGGCTATAAGGAGGACGAACACGCGCTTGCCCAAAGTGATTCTACTTTTCTCCCTCAGAGTTTCCAGTTTTGAGGATTGAAACGAGCGCCATTTATGTTTATGCCAATCCACAGTAGCTCAGTACTCTCCATAGACATATACTAGATACGGAACAGAGACTGTCTGCCTGGAGGACTTTTGGAGTAAAAAGCAATCTAGTTGTTCGTGACTGTAAAGGAATTTCTTCCTTTTTTCTATGACTAAACCCGAAAAATGTGACCAAAGTAACGACGTCCTCTTCATAGAGACATCTCATAAATTTTCCTTAGATATGAATTACTATACCCAGCATATTCTCTGAAGTCCTTCCGGAGTAGCGTAATTGAGAAAGGCGATTAGGAGTACCAGTGGAAGATATGGCAAGAACGAAACTGAACAATCCTTCTCCGGTTATTTGCCGTATGTGCGGCTGCATCACAGGTATGTGACACTCATCTGAAATTATGTACGGTATTAAGCATTTTCACCGATAAATTTTCAGATGGCCAAATCAGAGATACATGAGACGATGAGTCAGTTACCTAAATGGTCACGGTCAAATCGGCTTAAGTAAGTAAAATGGTTCCCTGAAGAATGTACAAGTTTCGCTAAATTTAATCACATAATTCTGGGTTTTGTCGGCTTCTGATAGCCTATGCGGTCGATAAAAGCCTGAGTGGTGTTGCCCGTAACCATATCCTGGCCATCCCATTTATGATGTAGACGACGCGATTTTTGCTTGTAACTAGTGGTTCCAAAGATAAATGGTGTGATTTACACTCAAATTGGTGTTCTTCAGACCATCAGCTGGAGAAGCCAGGTTGTGTTCAAGTATTCCACCCGAGAAGATGTGAAATCAAAGGAAAAACGTTTGACATAAGCGTGTGCGAATGTATCAATAAATGCAGGCAGTAGTAGTAGTACAAAATATTACAAAACTACAAGAATTTATTTGCTACCACCGTTCTCAAAATTGGGGGTGATGACATGTGCCTTCATACAGGATTGTTTCGAATGGGCGGGAACAAAGGTGCACACGAATACTGATTACTGCGAAAGTCGCAGAAGCCAAAGGTGTGATAAACAGTCACCTCATACGGATATTGTTGCACATGCTCTCTCATTGCGGCAACGAAGCCCTACCAGCTCCAAGCTAAGAATGCTTCGCGCAACCAGTCCTATACTCACTTCCGATTGTGTCTTGCCGATTCCCCATCCGAAGTAGGACACTCCGAAAATCCAAAAGGATACAATTTCACACTACCACATGAATTGAAGAGCTCAGAAAAAGGTAAAATATATCAACTCTAGGTTTCTTAGTCGCTCACATTGAGATACCAGGTAATCTGTATGACCACACAACTGGAATGTCTACCAATGTCGACCAATCGGTCACCCAGCCCTGATTGGTTAACTGTGAAGCTCGAGGAAGGAGCAGACAAAGATTTCTTATGAACATTCGGGTCGCCACATTGTCGGTTCGGATAATTGTCCGTTTGCGGCTACCCGGACAGAGGCATAATTAATCGAGTTAGTTGACCGAGAACATTATAATTATCGTTTTCATTTACGCCTGCAGATCACTCTGTGTGTAAGTGTGCGCGTTCGGTCTTGGAAACGGGTTAAAGAGCATATAATTGATGCCAATATTTCCACAAAATGGCTGGTAAAATTGTTTTGTGGGAATGCTTAGACAGTTCTGACCGTGTGATTGGTTTGGATGATAATTTGGCACGCAGGTACGGACGGGGTTCTCAGGCTTGTGTTACTGCAGAAATATGGCGTTTGTGATTTGCTTTTGGTTAAATACTTCGTATGTAGGATGCAAGACAAAGCAGCCAAATTTTTTGACATACCCTTAAGTTGAATTCAATGAAAATAACTTATTTCAATTCCATAAGGGTGAACTTTGGTCAAATTTCTGTTTTGTTAAAACCTGGTTAAGTTGTCGACAACGTATTCACTAGCCGACTGATGCTATTTAAGAGTGACACCGTTATTTGTGATCCACTGCATCTATCATTGACATTTTGCGGTCCCGTTGTGCTGTTTGGCTTGATTTACGTCGTGCGTAAACCAGCAGTTTCAGTTCCAGAATTTAGCGAACACAGTACCACGCGCCAGTTCGGGTGAGGTTTGTTGTTTTCTCAAATGTTGTCCAAAGTGCAGTAGATCGCAGCATATTTTTAGCTTTTCACAGTGTGGCCTGAACCTTGCTATGCTTACTACAGCCCCCCTTCCTACCTAATTTTGCATACGCGTACACATTAGCTCCTCGCAGACACATCAGTCATGAAGAACAGAATGGCTGGGACGCAACTTCTGACCCTACCGTATTTAGGCTGCACACGCACGCGATGCGATGTATCAGACCAGCCAGTAGAAATCATACCAATCAGTATGATACAAAACAACTAAACCCTTACCTGGGACATTAGTAAGCAGTATTCCTACCCTATAAGACTATGTTTGTGTGTCTGTTCGCACACGCTGTATGAGCC